ACATGACCAGTAGCAGTACCAGCAGCAGTACCAGTACCAGTACCAGTACCAGTACCAGTACCAGTAGTTTAAGAAGGAAGGCCCTACAGCTAGTCATCTCTGCAAGTACGTGTCTGTTCCATCTAACAAACATGACCAGTAGTAGTACCAGCAGCAGTACCAGTACCAGTAGCAACGGAGGTCATGCAGACATGCAGCTCAAGGATGGACCGACGAAATGCAACCAGCGGCCCAGTAAGGGCATATCGGAAAGTTATGCCCCGTGCTGACAGGGGCCTGCGGAAAAGTTCAGAGGCCCGAGGGGCATAACAGGGTAAGTCGGCCTTCACAAGGGCACGCCGCAAATAAACGCAAACTTCAGGGGCATTTCGAAAATTTTCCCTTTTTTTTTTTGTTTTTTGTTTTTGTTCAAACAAACAAATACAGTGGACCCGCTTTCCAGCAGATGCTGCTTCCCACCACTAGATGGAGCCGCCTCGGGAGTGCTAGGGGCACCTGCTCTTCTTACCAGTGTCCCTCGTGTTCTCTCTCTCGGGCAAATAATATGTGTGAGATGTCGCACAGAAAACATCCTAGAAGAGGGGAGGGACATCCAGGGTTGAAAACCCATGATCGCAAACCCTTCTCCTCAACCCCCACCCGTCCCGCTGTACCCTGAACCCACCCTGTCCCCACTCTCTCCACCCACCACGGGACTTCCCATCAGCGGGATCCCATCCCTTGCAAGGATTCCAGCATCCCCCTTCCACGCCTTATGCTATCAAGTTATCAACCCATCCGGGTAGTCTGGGCCTCGCTGCACTACTTTCCACATGCACAAAAGACAAAAAATACGGCTATCAAGTTATCAACCCATCCACGTAGTTTCCACATGCACAAAAGACAAAAAATATGGCTATCAAGTTATCAACCCATCCACGTAGTTTCCACATGCACAAAAGACAAAAAATATGGCTATCAAGTTATCAACCCATCCACGTAGTCCTTGGGCCTCGCTGCACTACTTTCCAGATGCACAAAAGACACAAAATATGGTTATCAAGTTATCAACCCATCCACGTAGTTTCCACATGCACAAAAAACAAAAAATATGGCTATCAAGTTATCAACTGATCCACGTAGTCCTCGGGCCTCGCTGCACTACTTTCCACATGCACAAGAGACTAAAAATATGGCGGTGCATCTTTCCATGTTCTAGCCGAAGATTCGTTCTCATTTTGCACATTTGGAGACTACTAGTGCAGCGAGGCCGCCCCTTGTCTATTCCCTGCGACCTTCTCATGACTCTCATCTTCTCTCTTCTTGCGTCTCTGCCCACCCGCTTCCTCTCAATGTCTTTTGCTTACCTATGTGCACCTTCTGGAATATCAGCACTCCCAACCAACCCTTTTTTCTACAGTATGGGGAGATCCCCTTCATCACCTCCCCTTTCCACCCCATCGCCCAACTCCACCCGTCTGCACACAACAAACTGCATGCCTCTTGTACCATCATCTCCCCTAACCTCCTCACCCAGGGTGATCCCACAGCAACTGATGAGCTTCACTCCAACGAACAGAATAGTTTGGTGTTCATATCCCACGGATTCCCATCATCGATTACTTACTTTAATCAACTAAAAGGCCAGAAATGTGTCGATTACTTTAATCAACTAAGAGGCCAGAAATGTGTTCGACATAAAGGATGTTCGTAAGCTAGAGAGAGAGTCCAGAGAGGAGGAAGCAATACACATGCCACATGCGGACATCATTGCAACGTGTGCGTCTATGTGTCGGGGGAGTCAAAGAAACACGGGATGCGACATCATCATCAGGATTCCATGGCGGCCGCTTTTTTTTTTTCCGCCCCTGCATTGACAGCGGTGGCAAAGACAATTGGGTGTTGCATGCACCTGTGATCGTTATTTTTCCTATATGTTCTCCCAATCGACCTTCTTCGTCGCTCCAGTTAGTACAGATGATGGATGAGGATCATCGTGATGGTGATGGACAGATGCTAAATGATGGCCGGTGTGTGGGATGATGATGTCGTCACTGTGACAGTGAGTGATTGTCAATGATTGAATGCTTGACTGACTGATGTATTGGTTGAAAGATTGATTACTGATTGACTGATTGATTGATTGATTGATTTGATTGATTGATTGATTGATTGATTGATTGATTGACTGACTGATTGATTGATTGATTGATTGATTGATTGATTGATTGATCGATCGCTTGATTAACTGATTGACCGATCAGATGATGGCGGATACCTGCGAACTGTCTGTCAGTCACTCAAAAAGTAGTGCGTGATGAATGATGAGGCAGATCGTGTAGGAGTCAACAACAAAGGCAATAGGACGCCGAGGCGTGAGGACTATGTATGAACTTTGGTCGTATAATGCATCATAGGGACAATGACATGGATAACGAGCGCATGCATGGCGGAATGATGGTGTGTATGGTCTTTTTTTTTTTTTTTTTTTTTTTTCCAAGGACGACGGGCCGCGTGTGTAAATTCGGAGTTATTTAAAAAAAATAATAATAAAAAAAATTCGGAGTTACATATTACTCGTCCGATTCCATTTGAATTAAAACCCAGGTTTGTGTTTCAACAGATCATGACTGTACAGACTGAGGCAGGGCGGTTGGCAATGGTGTATAACGAAAAACACCGCCATATGCCCATTATCTGCATCATCACAGGGATTACAGGCATTTGATGTGATCGGTAGCATACCCCGTAGTACACTCAGGAGGGTCCCACTGCTCGGGGTCTCACTCTTTGCGGGTGCATGTTCACATCGCAGCAGCGTCCTTGTCATCCTCCTCCCGACCACCGTTTTTCGTTGACGTCTACCACCAGGCCGCTCCCCTCTGTGTACCCGCGTTCATCCCGATCCGCAAGTCTGCCACGTCTTTTTCCTCCTCGTTGTCGCCAATCCCGACCTCCCTCTATAGCGGTCCCGCTTCCGCCTCGTCTGGATGTGTGTCCTCCTTTTCCTCGATCCCGACCTCCCTCTATCCCGGTCCCGCTTCTGCCTCGTCGGGATACGTGTCCTCCTCGCATCCGTCGTCTCCCTCCTTCCTTCCTCTTCTCCTCGTCTTCTTCCTGTCCTCCTCCGTCCTTGCTCTATCCTGCAGAAAAAAGAAAAATAAACAGACAGTCCATAGCGCTGGGAGTCCTTCTCCCATCCCTCCTATCCCTCCTTCTTTGTCTTCTCTTCCTCCTCCTCCTACCTTCCTCCGTCCTTCCTCCTCCTCTCCTCGCCTGCCTCCTCTTCACATCCCTACTCTAGTTCCTTCCTCCTCTTGTCCTGGTCGGGGACCATCAGGGTCGGGACTGCCGGTCGGGATGGGTTTGGGACGCTTCCCCGGATCTTGACCGTTCCCCGCCTTTTGTTCACCTCGACATCTCTCCCTTCTGCTGTGGATCTTGGCCGGTTGAGAGAGAGAGAGAGAGAGAGAGAGAGAGAGAGAGAGAGAGAGAGAGAGCAGGGTCTGCTATCCGACAAAATCACAACTCAAAGATATTCAGTGCCCCATCTCTACGGCGGTCGGACGGCTCCCCGCTGGGAAGGAGGTCCACGGTTCACCGGCGCGGAGTGAACATTCTGTTAGAAAGTTCACTCTGTGCCTATCTCGCCCGTTGGCACTGTAGATCCAAGGGCGCACAGGTGCGCAGAGGACCATGGACCTCCCGTCCCCCCACCCGCCAATGCTGCTTAAGAGGCAGGATATGGAGAAACCAGTAACGCAAAACTTGTTTCCTATTTCTGATCTGATCTGATCTGATCGGATCGGATCTGATCTGATCTGATCTGAGTTGGACTGATCGCCGAACAAGACTACGGTAGCTTCCTTTGTCCAATACGATACGAGAGAGTACCGTATATGCCGCAAGCCATACTCTGCCCACCCAGTCCCAGAAAAGCACCTGACGACCACACTTTTTTTTTTTTTTTTTTAATGTACAGAGGAGCACCTGGTCAGAATGCAATAGAGCACATGATCCAAATGAAGACCAGGTTCATGCCAGGGCAGTTGCAGCCAAAGGGATCTCTCGCACGGAGGATCAACTAGAAAATGTGAAATAGAATAGGAGCCGCTTTCCAGCAGGTGCTGCTCCCCACCACTAGATGGAGCCCCCTGGGAAATGCTAGTGGTGTCTGCTCTTACCAGCACCCCTAACATCCTCTCGGGTTGTTTCTTTATTAAAAAATAAAAAGTAAAAAAAAGAAAAAAGAAAAAAAAGGCCATTGTCAAAGCATGAGGCGGGAAAAGAGAAACAAAATACGGAAAAAAAAAATAAAAAAAATCCGAGGACGGGTGGTGCCAAATATACTGGACAACTCAGCAGGTATAGCCGGACAGAGAAGTCGTCAAACTATGGCCTGGCAGCCAATTTCTCCCCTGCCTTCTTTTTTCCCCCATCTACACGACGATGATTTTTTTTTTTTAATTTTTATTTCTTTGTTGATATTTACAAAGATAATACAGTAGTAGTTCACAGCCTTCACAGCCTTCACAGCCTTCACAGCCTTCAGCAGCTATGGTGGCCTAACTTCGATCAGTGTGGGCTCCATGTCACTCGGCGCTTCAAACCCTAGCAGGTTGATTATCGTTGCTGCCACATTTGCAAGTCCAGCTGCTGGTAAGTCGTTACGGAACCGCACCCCTGGATGCAGACCTGGGCCCCCGATCGCGATTGGCACCGGTGCTAGAGTGTGACTCGTCAGCGGTTGAAGCTTCCCCGAAGCATCCCTGACGGGTTTGCCTGTCTTTGGATCCCTCTTCACCATGTCCTCCGCATTCCCATGGTCGCAGGTAATCAGAAATATCCCTCCCGCTTGGTCGACTGCCCCCAGACAGACTTTTATGCCTTGATCTACTGCCTCACAGGCCAGAATGGTCGCTTTTAGATCGCCAGTATGGCCCACCATATCCCCATTAGGAAAGTTAATCCGCACCTGATCATATTTGTGGCTCAGGATTGCGTTGCTTGCAGCTGCTGCTATCTCATCTGCCTTCATCCTTGGCTTTTCATTGAACTGAATATCGAGGTCGGTGGGTATCTCCTTGTACGTCTCTAGTTTCTCATCAAACTTTCCCGATCGGTTTCCATTCCAATAGAACGTCACGTGGCCGAACTTCACCGTCTCACTGCATGCAAACGTCCTCACGCCATTACGGACAAGCCATTCGCCGGAGGTGCCCTGAATTTCCGGAGGCGTGACCAAAAAATGGCGTGGAAGCTTCAGCTCGGTGTCATACTGCGTCATTCCCGCAAAACGAATCTTTGGAAATCTTGTCCGATCGAAATGCGTGAATTTGTCGTATTCGAGCGCCTTGCTCAGCATCACCATCCGATCAGCCCGAAAGTTGAAGGTGATGACGGCATCTCCATCGCCCACGCGGCCAATCGGTTGACCCTCCTTATCCACGATCACCCAAGGGGGGTAATACTGGTCGTTGCATTTGGAAGGGTCGGCCTCCTTAAGGACCTTTAATGCTTCAAGAGCTGAGCTGAATTTATGGGGGGCGTCACCAAGAATATGAGCACGCCACCCCCGCTCAACAATCCGCCAGTCGTTCTCGTATCTGTCCATGGTCACGTTCATTCTGCCCCCACCAGAGGCAATGCGCGCATCGCACCCTCCTTTCTTTGCCAGCTGAGCGAGTTCTTTCTCCAAAGCCTCCACGAACTGGAAAGATGTTCCGTCTGCAACATCTCGACCATCCGTAAGCACATGCACGCGGATCCGTTTCGCTCCATGGCTGGCACAGCCGTGCATGAGCTTCACAAGATGATCGAAACGGGAATGAACGCCACCATCGCTGAGGAGACCGATGAGATGGAGAGTGCGATTGGGAGAAGCAGAAAAAGCTTCCTTCACGTACGCAAAACTGGGAGATTGAAATAATTTGCCTGAGCTGAGAGCATGATCTACCAACCCAGCCCCCTGCTTGTAGATCTTGCCCGCCCCCAGGGCGTTGTGTCCCACCTCGCTGTTTCCCATATCGCTGTCCGACGGGAGCCCAACGGCTGAACCGTGAGCCTTCAGAAGCCGCCATCGCTCAGGAGCCGTCGCTTTGAGTGCATCCATGGTAGGCGTCTTTGCCACGTGGATGGCGTTGAACTCATCCTCGATGCCCTCAGCCCATCCATCCAGAATGCAGACAAGTAACGGCTTGCCACGTGGCAGAACAGGATGAGGCTTCAACTTCCAGCTGGAAGTCATCTGGAATGCCCTCCTCAAGAACCCAAACGTGCAGCAATCACGCAACTCGAATGGCCTACACGTAAGCCGATCATGAATGAAGAAGTACAACGTGTTTTGTATCAGCCTAGAAGGTATATATCGTCACAAACAGAACTGCCCGGTAAACCGTAGGCAGAGAGAGAGAAGAGGACAACAAACGAGGGGCTGTGACAAACTGTTTCGTCGGAGTTTCACCGACTCATATATATACCTTTATCCGGATCCCAAACAAACCACTCATTGCTACCCTTGTGCGTTGAAGTTCTGGCGGGAAAGGAGAGTGCAAAAAACACTAAGACAGTATAAACACGTGGCTGCGCCTCAACACACGCAGGCATCAGACAAGGACGTGGACATTTTCACCCACATGCATGCATGCACCAGACAAGGACGTTGTCATTTTCACCCACGTGCATGCATGCACCAGACAAAGACGTTTGTCGTTTTCAGCCACGTGCGTGCATGCACCAGACAAAGACGTTTTTGTCGTTTTCAGCCACGTGCGTGCATGCACCAGACAAAGACGTTTTGTCGTTTTCAGCCACGTGCGTGCATGCACCAGACAAAGACGTTTTGTCGTTTTCGGCCACGTGCGTGCATGCACCAGACAATGACGTTTGTCGTTTTCAGCCAGCCACGTGCGCATAGCGCAACAACATGTAGATATAAGTGGGACACGGTACAACAGCACGGTACAGAACGACACAGAACAATTCAGCTGCTGCGTGCCCACCTCATCTCGTCTCGCCTTAAAGTTTCTTTATTAAAGAATACCGTGGGGTGAGCACACTAAGGGTCAGATCCCACTACCCTGGATTATTCATTTTTCACCCTCGATTACGAAGATCAACGGTCAGAAATGAACAATAAGGGGTAGTGGGATCTGGCCCTAAGCAGCTTACAACACACAACAGCATAGGATTCGTACATCCCGCGAGTCGACACAGCGATGACAGGTATACAAATCGAGAAAAAAAAATGTAGGCTAGAAGTAATTTCAAAACCGAAATCATCAGGGCATCATGCCATGAGGAGGCACTCAAGTGTATGCATATATCGTTATGACACAAAACAAAATGAACCTTCGATTTGTATGTAGACTCTTCCAATCTTCTGTGGGATGATACAGTAATAGTCTGCTGTCTGCTTCAGTTTTCGTCACAGGTACCAGTGCGAGCAGTACCTCAGTTGGTCAGACCACTGGCATCGCAAGGGGGAGGTTGAGGGTTCTATTCCGATAGGCCCTCAGCCTCTGAAGGCCTGCTAATTTGACTTCCATAAATTCCAAGATGGTGCTGATGAAGAAGTGGGGACCCAAACAAGGTCCGTCGCCGACATCTGACGTCTCTTAGTTGGCTTGTTTCACGAGTCTCAGGGCCTAATCTGAAGAGAAGATGCCTTGGACATCTGCCGTTTGCTGTCATATTCACCACAAAGAGAACCATACTGCGCCAGACTGTTTCATCCTTTCAACAACTCATCAGGAGGTCGATGAGTAGGTGAAAGTCTGACGAAAGAGTCTGGCACAGTCATGTTTTCCTCTGTGGAGTTGTGTATAGCGAACATGACGACACACACACACACACACACACACACACACACACACACACACACACACACACAGAGTGACACACACACGAACACGAACACAAACACGCGCGCATACAATGTGTATATGTGTGTGTGTGTGTGTGTGTGTGTGTGTGTGTGCACGCGTGCCTGTGCCTGTGTGAGTGTGTGTGTGTGTATTATGTGCGTGGGCATGTTTGTGCGTGATGGATTGATGGATTGATTGATTGATTGATTGATTGATTAATCTTTTGCTGTTTTTCCAAAGTTTTTTTTTCTTTTTTTCTTTTGCAAGTTTTATTCTATTGGGCCAGAGAGGGGGCTTTCTACATCCCCCCTGCATCGGTCCCGTCGCGGGGGCCCCTCAAAAACGCTGTAAACGGTCGTTCAAGGCGCAGGGCGACCCTGAACGGCCATTCAGTGAATAGTACTGAATACTGACCGCGTCATTCAGCGTTCACGAGGTAGGCATTGCCCTCTCTCTCTCTCTCTCTCTCTCTCTCTCTCTCTCTCTCTCTCTCTCTCTCTCGTTTGTCAACAGTTTCCTCTTTGTGCTTACCTGCCATTCATTCCCAGGGTTCTACCTGTGGGTATATACCCACTGACCTTCTTGTCGCTGCAGTACTTCTTTCTGACAGAGTGGACAGAAGAATGCAAAGGAAAAACAAAACAGGCCGTCCTCGCAGACTGAGCTGGGCATTCCACAATTACTGACCCGTGGCGCTCGCACGCTGCCAGTAGCAAATGTGAGGCAGCCATGGACGGGCAAGCATTGCGTCACCCTGCAGTAAAAAAGAAGAGAAAAGAAAACAGCAGCTATTGTGCAATGTGAGACAAATATATATATATAATTCTCTCTCTCTCTCTCTCTCTCTCTCTCTCTCTCTCTCTCTCTCTCTCTCTCTCTCTCTCTCTCTCTCTCTCTCKCTCKCTCGCTCTCTCTCACACACACATACACATTTTTGCTCTCTCCTTCGTTAACAAAAAACATGCTCTCTCTCTCTCTCTCTCTCTCTTGCTCGCTCTCTCTCTCTCTCACCCCCGTGCCCCCCCTCCCCTCCCTCCCTCTGGCGTTCACACACACACAGTGAATAGCTCGCCCATGGAGACAAAACATCAGTGCTGTCGAGCTTGGTACCATGTATCCTGGCAACAAACTGCGCACTTCTTTTTTTTTGCCTTTCCTTAAACACGGACAGGAGCATTAGTGTGATGCACGTGCGGAGAGAGAGAGAGAGAGAGAGAGAGAGAGAGAGAGAGAGAGCTTGGTACCATGTATCCTGGCAACAAACTGCGCACTTCTTTTTTTTTGCCTTTCCTTAACACGGACAGGAGCATTAGTGTGATGCACGTGCGGAGAGAGAGAGAGAGAGAGAGAGAGAGAGATGGACACACACGAGAAGCAGCAGCTGAGTGAAAGCCCAATCCGGATCAATGGAAAACGAATCAAGATTCATCCTCGATAGATCTTCCTCTTTATCGAGGAAGATTCATTCTCGTTGGGCATGTCTGATGTCTTTTTTTGCTCAATGTTGTAGGGTTTTTTTTGTGTTTTTTATTGTTTTTATTTTTCCGTGTTGTGCTACTGGTTGTCCGAGGTTCGGCAATAAAGTCCGAGGCTCGGGAATGATCGGGCTACCGGTAGTCCGAGCCTCGGACTTGATAGCTGAGTGAGGTACTGGTGGTCTAAGGCGTGTGCCTGCTGAAAACAAATGGCTTTTCCACTAGACTGGCCAAACAACAATGGCACTAAGCAAAAGGTTACAGGAGGACAGAGTCGACAAAGGCACGTGGAATGGTTGTTCTTGGATCACAGTCTGGTGAAAACAATTACGCGCCCTATCGCTCTGAAGACCCACCCCTTCTCCATTCCTCTTTCCGCTCCTCAACTCTCATTGTAGGGGAACTCTGGCTCGTGAAAAGGATTAGCACCCTATGTCTCCGAAGACCACCCCCTTCTCCACCCCTCTTTCTGCTCCACAACTGTCATTGTAGGGAACATGTGTCTCGTGTAAATGATTATGGGCCCTATAGGCCTATCCCCTTCTCCATCCCTTTTTCCCCTGTCATTGTAGGGGATATCCAATATGATCCCCCAGTTTCACTGTGTAGTTATAGATCTTCCTTTGCTTGCGAAGTTATAAGCATGGGCCCTTTTAGAATCTGGCGAAGGACCATATTTCGTGCAGGACGCCCAGCCCCTTGGAACCAGGCCCTGATCGCACAGCTCTATGCCTATGTCCATCCATATATGTGATTGGACTGTGGGTATGGAAAATCTTTTTTTTTTCTTTTTCTTATGAAACATAAGCTCCTTTCTCCTTCTTCTTCTTCTTCTTTTCAATTATCGCATATTCCGTTCTAAGGGTAGGGAGGTGCACCTGCCGGAAACTACGCTCAGCACCCCATAAATTATCGAACAATTACAACAGAAATGGTAAAATACAGGATCTCTCACCTTGCAGGCTTGACCAACTACAGTAGTCCGCACTGATCACTGAAGCTCTCCCAATCCTCTTTCTTTTTTGGGGAAACTACACGAGAGTGACAAAAAAGAGTTATAATTGCACTATTAGCCAAGATACAGTTTCGAATTGCAGTTTGGGCAACGTATACAACCCAGCTTTCTGGCCAGGTAGGGTGCCCGAGGTGCAATTGCAACTGTATCTTGCTCCCTAGTGCAATTATAACTCCATTTTGTGAAAACCATGCAGATGACCACCATGCTTTCTGCTCAAACACCTGCGTATAATATTGGCATACACCCTTTTGACGCCTATCATTAAGCCACCAGTACTTGGGCCATACATCGGCCACGGCGCGTTTTCGTGCACGCGCCACAACTTTCAGGGCTCGGCCTCCCAGGCAAAATGGCTGGCGGCGGCAGCCAAAAGGAGGCGATGCGGTTCCTTTTTTTTTGGACGTGCAGGGCATTTCGAGGGTCAGAGAAAAGTGCCTCGGAAGTACTGGTGGTATAACACAACATAACTCCTCACTTATCGTGATGACGGCCCCCTCTTTGCATGCATTGGAAAAGGAGAACACTCCACGGGACTTACAACACTGCCATGTCCCCCCACCATAGCAGCCTATCCCCTGTATACCGTGATGAGAATGGTGTAAGACGAAGCGGTTATGGATGAAGACCGGCAGGCTTTTCGTGCCGCCCTGATCTATTTATGGGGAGTCTTACGTGCTGGGAATCGGGCCCAGCATCCCTTTCTTGACATATGGTTGGCATCTTCCGCCGTGATCGCGAGGGCTTTTCCACTGTCCTTGCGATCCATGATGGCGATGCATGGGTGAAGGCTGCACTGGCTCCCCCAGAAGACTGTGGTCCCCTCCTCCCGCAGCTGTGCAACACCGCTGCCTGTGAAGGTGAAAGGATGTTTGGTCCCGGGTAATGACCAAGCAGGCTCTCCCGCAACCCCCCCCCCCCCCCCCCCCCCC